GTGTGTGATGGGTTCTAGATGGCTGTCAGTTGCTGTGTGATGTAGATGACTAATTGAAGAAATAGGTCACCAGCACTCAAAGAGTTTAAAAATGAATAAGTCCTTTTTATTGGACAATGGTGTCACGACAATCAAAAAGAGCCGACGTTTCGGGGCCACGCAAGGTCCCTTTCTCAAGGCAAAAGATGTGACCACAAGATTTGTCACATCTTTGAGTGCTGGTGACCTATTTCTTCAATTGTTCGTTTTGCACGGTGCCATCCGTGGAGTTACTACAAGCACCATCTTCGTTTATTGGCCGGGACTGTTGAAAGGTGTGCGGGGAGCACCCTCACCTAACTGCAACTTGATGTAGATGACTGTCAGGTGCTATGTGTTGTAGATTGTTGTCAGGTGCTGTGTGATGTAGATCAGCGGTCGCCAACTGGTGGTCCATGAGAAAAATTTGGTGGTCCCCGGGCCCCTTTAATGCCATGCAGGCTGGGCCATCATTTAAGCGGCACGGAGGCTCCGGGGCTGCCTCTCACTGACTCAAGCAGCGGCTGTCACAAGACATGTTCCACGCGCGTGCCCGATGACGTCATCGCACACGCGCGGCAGTATTCTGATACCTGCCGGCGGTCATCTTGGTGATGGATGCCAGCAGAGAGAGGAGGGGACAGTCACCCGGCGGAATAAGGTATGCCGCCAGGTCCCCTCAGCTCTCCTGATAATGTCGGGCGTTCGGTCCATGACCGAGCGCCCGACTTTTCAGAGGGGGGTGACACCAAAATGACTGTGAGTTATTTTGGTGTCACCCCTCCAATGGTGTCACCCGGGTGCGGGCCGCACCCCCGCACTCCCCTTGTGACGCCACTGTCTATGTGTATATATAGTGGGGGGAATTTATCAAAGCACTTGCGACAGTTTTAGCCTCTTAGATCATTTTTATGTGTAAATCTGTCCTTTACCTTGTGCCCCTGTTTTCTTCAGAGCTTGCACTACTTTTCTAACTTCACGTGTTTTGCACCTGTTTTCTTCAGAGTTAGCACTACTTTTTCAAATGCATGTTTTTTGCACCTTTTTTGCACGTGTTTTAATCTGCACTTGTTCTGGGCTGTCTGAAACTGGAGCATCACCTAAGCAAACACTCACAATTTAAGAAGTCCCCATGACCACTTCTTCAAGATGCAACAGTTAAAGGAGAACTATGAGGTGAGTGCTTTTCACTCACCTCATAGTTCTAGCCGACCTGTGACAATGAGACTGTCACAGGTCGGCTCACTAGATCGGGAGGTGAGCGAACACATACCGGCGTTCGCTCACCTCTCGATCCTGTCACGGCTCTCTGCCGTGACATGGGAGGGGCTGGATTCCCCTCTCCCCGCTCCGATCCGCCAGCGCTGACTGCCAGAACGGACGGGGGAGGGGGCGGGTACAGCTGGCTCTGCCTCTAGATAGGCAGAGCCAGCTGTCACTCACGCAGCTGGGCGGATCTCGACATCGATGTCGGGATCCGCTCCGGCTGCGGCATCTCAGTATACAGCGAGCTGCAGCTCGCGGTATACTGAGTATACTGAGCCTAGGGTGACGGGAGGACGCCAGTTTGTGTCCTCCCGTTACCCTAAGGAGAACTATGGGGAAAAGCCCTAACCCCATAGTTCTCCTTTTAAGCTTTTTGCCTGAAGTTAGAAGTCTCTTTCTTGGAGTCTATTAAACCTCATTTATCAACAACATTACACTAGCTTGCTAAATCTGGTACAAATATATTCCGTGCAAGTTCAAACACTCGCAATTTCTTTGATAAATTCCCCCCACTGATGCATTCTCATATTTTTTGTTGTAGATGCCTGTCAGGTGTAGTGTGATGGGGATGGTTGTCAGGTGTAGTGTGATGGGGATGGTTGTCAGGTGTTGTGTGAGGGGGATGGCTGTCAGGTGTTGTGTGAGGGGGATGGCTGTCAGTTGTAGTGTGATGGGGATGGTTGTCAGGTGTTGTGTGAGGGGGATGGCTGTCAGGTGTTGTGTGATGGGGATGGTTGTTAGGTGTTGTGTGATTAAGATGGTTGTTAGGTGTTGTGTGATGGGGATGGTTGTCAGGTGTTGTGTGAGGGGGATGGCTGTCAGGTGTTGTGTGAGGGGGATGGCTGTCAGGTGTTGTGTGATGGGGATGGTTGTTAGGTGTTGTGTGATTAAGATGGTTGTTAGGTGTTGTGTGATGGGGATGGTTGTCAGGTGTTGTGTGGTGTCGATGGTTGTCAGGTGTTGTTTGATGTGGATGGTTGTCAGGTGTTGTGTGATGTGGATGGTTGTCAGGAGTTGTGTGATGGGGATGGCTGTCAGGAGTTGTGTGATATAGATGGCTGTCAGGTGCTGTGTGTTGTAGATGGATGTCAAGTGTTGTGTGATGTGAACAGTTGTCAGGTGTTGTGTGATGGGGATGGCTGTCAGGTGTTGAGTGACGGAGATGGTTGTTAGGTGTTGTGTGATCGGGATGGTTGTCAGGTGTAGTGTGATGGGGATGGTTGTCAGGTGTAGTGTGATGGGGATGGCTGTCAGGTGCTGTGTGTTGTAGATGGCGGTTAGGTGTTGTGTGATGTGAATGGCTGTCAGGTGTTGTGTGATGGGGATGGCTGTCAGGTGTTGTGTAATGGGGATGACTGTCAGGTGTTGTGTAATGGGGATGACTGTCAGGTGTTGTGTAATGGGGATGGTTGTTAAGTGTCATGTAATAGGGATGGTTGTCAGGTGTAGTGTGATGAGGATGGCTGTCAGGTGTTGTAGATGGTTGTCACATTTTGTGTGATGTAGATGGCTGCCAGGGGTTGTTTGATGTAGATGACAGTCAGGTGTTGTGTGATGGGTATGGCTGCCAGGGGTTGTGTGATGTAGATGACAGTCAGGTGTTTTGTGATGGGGATGGCTGCCAGTGGTTGTGTGATGTAGATGACAGTCAGGTGTTGTGTGATGGGGGTGGCTGTCAGGGGTTGTGGGATGTAGATGACAGTCAGGTGTTGTGTGATGGGTATGGCTGCCAGGGGTTGTGTGATGTAGATGACAGTCAGGTGTTGTGTGATGGGGATGGCTGTCAGGGGTTGTGTGATGTAGATGACAGCCAGGTGTTGTGTGATGGGGATGGCTGTCAGGGGTTGTGTGATGTAGATGACAGTCAGGTGATGTGTGATGGGGATGGCTGTCAGGTGGTGTGCGCTGGGAGGCGGCTCTAGGACCGCAGCGCTGCCTGTGCTGTCAGGGTGGATGCAGAAGAAAGGAGGAGGAGAGCCTGTGACCCGGGAGGAGGATAGGGCGAGGAGAGAGCAATGCTAAATCAAGGGTACAGTTAGGAGGCACAGACACCCGAGGAAGGGGATTGGAAGGAGGTGTGTATGTGACATACAGACAAGGGACTCTGACGAGTGATCGGCCTCATTCTCCTCTCCAGGTCACGTCGCCGCAATGAACATGTCAGTGTTGACTCTCGAAGAATATGAATTCGAGAAGCAATTTAACGAGAATGATGCGATCCAGTGGATGCAGGAGAACTGGTAAGCGCAGGCTGCATGTCCTTATTGATGTCTATGAGAGATCACCCACACATCCATCCTAATGCCTTTTGTGAGATGCGATCATGTCCCTTTGTAGTGTGATGGGGATGGTTGTCAGGTGTTGTGTGAGGGGGATGGCTGTCAGGTGTAGTGTGATGGGGATGGTTGTCAGGTGTTGTGTGAGGGGGATGGCTGTCAGGTGTAGTGTGATGGGGATGGTTGTCAGGTGTTGTGTGAGGGGGATGGCTGTCAGGTGTAGTGTGATGGGGATGGTTGTCAGGTGTTGTGTGAGGGGGATGGCTGTCAGGTGTAGTGTGATGGGGATGGTTGTCAGGTGTTGTGTGAGGGGGATGGTTGTCAGGTGTTGTGTGAGGGGGATGGCTGTCAGTTGTAGTGTGATGGGGATGGTTGTCAGGTGTTGTGTGAGGGGGATGGCTGTCAGGTGTTGTGTGATGGGGATGGTTGTTAGGTGTTGTGTGATTAAGATGGTTGTTAGGTGTTGTGTGATGGGGATGGTTGTCAGGTGTTGTGTGGTGTCGATGGTTGTCAGGTGTTGTTTGATGTGGATGGTTGTCAGGTGTTGTGTGATGTGGATGGTTGTCAGGAGTTGTGTGATGGGGATGGCTGTCAGGAGTTGTGTGATATAGATGGCTGTCAGGTGCTGTGTGTTGTAGATGGATGTCAAGTGTTGTGTGATGTGAACAGTTGTCAGGTGTTGTGTGATGGGGATGGCTGTCAGGTGTTGAGTGACGGAGATGGTTGTTAGGTGTTGTGTGATCGGGATGGTTGTCAGGTGTAGTGTGATGGGGATGGTTGTCAGGTGTAGTGTGATGGGGATGGCTGTCAGGTGCTGTGTGTTGTAGATGGCGGTTAGGTGTTGTGTGATGTGAATGGCTGTCAGGTGTTGTGTGATGGGGATGGCTGTCAGGTGTTGTGTAATGGGGATGACTGTCAGGTGTTGTGTAATGGGGATGACTGTCAGGTGTTGTGTAATGGGGATGGTTGTTAAGTGTCATGTAATAGGGATGGTTGTCAGGTGTAGTGTGATGAGGATGGCTGTCAGGTGTTGTAGATGGTTGTCACATTTTGTGTGATGTAGATGGCTGCCAGGGGTTGTTTGATGTAGATGACAGTCAGGTGTTGTGTGATGGGTATGGCTGCCAGGGGTTGTGTGATGTAGATGACAGTCAGGTGTTTTGTGATGGGGATGGCTGCCAGTGGTTGTGTGATGTAGATGACAGTCAGGTGTTGTGTGATGGGGATGGCTGCCAGGGGTTGTGTGATGTAGATGACAGTCAGGTGTTGTGTGATGGGTATGGCTGCCAGGGGTTGTGTGATGTAGATGACAGTCAGGTGTTGTGTGATGGGGATGGCTGTCAGGGGTTGTGTGATGTAGATGACAGCCAGGTGTTGTGTGATGGGGATGGCTGTCAGGGGTTGTGTGATGTAGATGACAGTCAGGTGATGTGTGATGGGGATGGCTGTCAGGTGGTGTGCGCTGGGAGGCGGCTCTAGGACCGCAGCGCTGCCTGTGCTGTCAGGGTGGATGCAGAAGAAAGGAGGAGGAGAGCCTGTGACCCGGGAGGAGGATAGGGCGAGGAGAGAGCAATGCTAAATCAAGGGTACAGTTAGGAGGCACAGACACCCGAGGAAGGGGATTGGAAGGAGGTGTGTATGTGACATACAGACAAGGGACTCTGACGAGTGATCGGCCTCATTCTCCTCTCCAGGTATCACTCAGCAGGTCGCCCCAATGAACATGTCAGTGTTGACTCTCCAAGAATATGAATTCGAGAAGCAATTTAACGAGAATGATGCGATCCAGTGGATGCAGGAGAACTGGTAAGCGCAGGCTGCATGTCCTTATTGATGTCTATGAGAGATCACCCACACATCCATCCTAATGCCTTTTGTGAGATGCGATCATGTCCCTCCCAGCGGCTTTCACCTTGTGGATCCAATGCAGGATGAGCCTTCCATGTGTTGTTAATTCTTTACATGCGGCCATAGGCCTCTGTGGCATGTGAAGGGTGCAAGTGTGATGTGCCGGGGCCCTGTGTATGGAGAATGAATGGGAGCTCTATATTTTTCTACATGGATTTCCACATACACAATCAGTCACAGTGCCCGCAGGATACACAGGCTGCTGGCAGGAGGGGACTCCTAGTACAAGCTAAGAGGCCCTGGACCCAGAGATCACAGATATTTATGTCTTCATCAGTGTATGCTTATAGTAAGAATGATAATATTATGGCCATAGTAATAGCTGGGGTCAGGCACTGCAAATCAATTCCTGTCATTGACAAGTGCTTAACATAGCTGAGCCTGATTACATTCATTGTGCCAAGCAAGCTATTGGGGTGTGGATGCTATTGTATCTGATAGCCGGCACCCAACCATGCAGCTGATTGGCTGCACTCACTGTTTGTGCAACAATTTTCAGGCCGGATCCTTCGTCAAAAGTCAAATGAGTGATTAACTTTTGTTAAGCTGGAAGGGTACCCATTGTTAGAATTTCAGCCGATTCCGATGAATTCTAAGTGTAACCTTGCAAAATATTTTGTTATCTATGCAGATTTTCCTGTATGTATCATCTTTTTGTGCAAGTGCTCTGACCAATCTTTCTTTCTTTCTTTCTTTCTTTCTTTCTCTTGCTTTCTTCCTCTCCTTGTCTTTTCCTCTCATTCTCTCTTCATCTTTTCTCCTTTCCTTGTCTGTTCCTCTTTTCCTCTCCTTCTCTCTCCTTCTCTCTTCCTCTTTTCCTCTCCTTCTCTCTTCCTCTCCTCCTCTTTTCCTCTCCTCCTCTCTTCCTCTCCTCCTCTCTTCCTCTCCTCCTCTTTTCCTCTCCTCCTCTCTTCCTCTTTTCCTCTCCTCCTCTCTTCCTCTTTTCCTCTCCTCTCTTCCTCTTTTCCTCTCCTTGTCTCTTCCTCTCCTTGTCTCTTCCTCTTTTCCTCCCCTTCTCTCTTCCTCTCCCTTGTCTCTTCCTCTTGTCCTCTCTTCCTCCCCTTCTCTCTTCCTCTTTTCCTTTCCTTCTCTCTTCCTCTTTTCATTTCCTTGTCTCTTCCTCTTTTTTTCCTTGTCTCTTCCTCTTTTCCTCTCCTTCTCCCTTCCTCTTTTCCTCTCCTCTCTTCCTCTCCTCTTTTCCTCTCCTCTCTTTCTCTTTTCCTCTCATCTCCTCCTCTTTTCCTCTCCTCCTCTTTTCCTCTTCTTGTCTCTTCCTCTTTTACTCTCCTTGTCTCTTCCTCTTTTCCTTTCCTTCTCTCTTCCTCTTTTCCTTTCCTTCTTTCCTTGCCTTGTCTATTCCTCCCCTTCTCTCTTCCTCTTTTCCTCTCATCTCCTCCTCTTTTCCTTTCCTTGTCTCTTCCTCTTTTCCTTTCTTCTCTTCCTCTTTTCCTCTCCTTCTCTCTTCCTCTTTTCCTCTCATCTCTTCCTCTTTTCCTCTAATCTCTTCCTCTTTTCCTCTCCTTCTCTTCCTCTTTTCCTCTCCTTCTCTCTTCCTCTTTTCCTCTCATTGTCTCTTCCTCTTTTCATCTCCTTTTCTCTTGCTCTCTTCCTTATCTTGTCTCTTCCTCTTTTCCTTTCCTTGTCTCTTCCTCTTTTCCTCCCCTTCTCTCTTCCTCTTTTCCTCTCATCTCCTCCTCTTTTCCTTTCCTTGTCTCTTCCTCTTTTCCTTTCCTCCTCTCTTCCTCTTTTCCTCCCCTTCTCTCCTCCTCGCTTCCTCCCCTTCTCTCTTCCTCTTTTCCTTTCCTTGTCTCTTCCTCTTTTCCTCCCCTTCTCTCTTCCTCTTTTCCTCTCCTTCTCTCTTCCTCTTTTCCTCTCATTGTCTCTTCCTCTTTTCATCTCCTTTTCTCTTGCTCTCTTCCTTATCTTGTCTCTTCCTCTTTTCCTTTCCTTGTCTCTTCCTCTTTTCCTCTCCTTGTCTCTTCCTCTTTTCCTCTCCTTGTCTCTTCCTCTTTTCCTCTCCTTGTCTCTTCCTCTTTTCCTCTCCTTGTCTCTTCCTCTTTTCCTCTCCTTGTCTCTTCCTCTTTTCCTCTCCTTGTCTCTTCCTCTTTTCCTCTCCTTGTCTCTTCCTCTTTTCCTCTCCTTGTCTCTTCCTCTTTTCCTCTCCTTGTCTCTTCCTCTTTTCCTCTCCTTGTCTCTTCCTCTTTTCCTCTCCTTGTCTCTTCCTCTTTTCCTCTCCTTGTCTCTTCCTCTTTTCCTCTCCTTGTCTCTTCCTCTTTTCCTCTCCTTGTCTCTTCCTCTTTTCCTCTCCTTGTCTCTTCCTCTTTTCCTCTCCTTGTCTCTTCCTCTTTTCCTCTCCTTGTCTCTTCCTCTTTTCCTCTCCTTGTCTCTTCCTCTTTTCCTCTCCTTGTCTCTTCCTCTTTTCCTCTCCTTGTCTCTTCCTCTTTTCCTCTCCTTGTCTCTTCCTCTTTTCCTCTCCTTGTCTCTTCCTCTTTTCCCCTCCTTGTCTCTTCCTCTTTTCCTTGCCTTCTATTCCTCATCTTATAGTATTTAAATACCAGCCCTAGGTTAGCTTTGATTGAAGGTAGAAGTAAAGATGTCACACGTGCATTTAGCATACGATCCATTAAAATAATCGTATGAAAGGACAGAAATTATTGTTTAAAGCATCAGAAATGGTAACTGTGTCTTATATCAATCCATTCACTCTCACTGTTAAATGTTTAATAATATAAATAAAAATCAAAGCGATTGTCTTGAAATCGATTGATTGCGCCATATGCTATTTGATCAGCTTGCATACACTCAGAGTTTTTCCGCCTATTGCAATTGCTTTTATGTGATCCTGCAAAAGTCAATTGAAGGTGATGATAGTAGTAAGAAACATCTATGATTGCTAGACTAGGTGAGAATATTGAATTGATGGATTCATCATATGATTGGATGTATGGGTAGTATAAATGCAGACTGTGATGCTTCTGTGCTCTGTATTTGTTGTAGGCATGGTACTGTGCCCAGAGGGGTATTCAGCATGTAGAACATGTTAATATAATTAGCTTTTGACAAAAGACTAAAATGCTCAGAATGAAGCGCTGACATGATATTATTGGTGGGCTGGGACACCACGAAGGTAATGGAAGTTTACAAATCTGCTGTTGCCCATTGGTACAGTATAATGTAACATTTCTGGATGTAAAAGATAGTAGGCAAGAAGCTATAACAATGTACTCTTTTATTCAAGATGCCACCAATTCTGATTTAACAACAAAGGGAATTGTGCCTGAGCCAGCCATGTGCACATTTTCTACAGCCTGGGCAGGAAGTGGGTTTACAAGTATCTGAATTTGATTTTGGTATTGTGTATAGCATTACTAAGGAATACCTAGTAACATTTTGCATTCATTTCTGAAATTAGAAGACGACTGCTTTGCAGATGAGCTGATTTGTTAAAACAGAAATCCAGAATGATCCTGTATCTGTCCACTGAAAATTAGGAGTCTGCAGGAGCTGTGCTGTGCATTTACCTCCATTCACCTTTGACAGCTAGGAAATGGTAAAAAGCAGGGGAGGTCACAGATTGCTTCAATTATTATTATTATTATTATTACTATTATTATTATTATTCCAGTATCTGACTGTTAAAGCCCAGTTCCAATATTTTCAGTTTTGGATAGAGAGTGGGAGAGAGTAAAGCTGGCCATACACAGCTCAAATTTTGGACCATCCCTGCCAAATTGGCCGAAATTCAAGCTGTGGTTGACCTTGTCAGCAGGTGATGGGCTCGGGCGTGTTCGCAAGCGCCTCGTGCCGAGCACGCCAGGCAGGCCCGGCGCTACCGCAAGGCAAGCGGCCGCCTGAGGGCGCTGCAGGGTTGAGGGCGGATTCCTGGCGGGCTCGGCACGAGGCGCTTGCGAACACGCCCAAGCCCATCACTACTTGTCAGCACTCTGAGGCTCCACAGAAGTGAGCTTGAAAATGGATTAAGCTAGGTGGAAATTTCTTGGCCAAACAGTGACTGCATCCTATCAGATGCAGTCACTGTTTAGGTGTTCAGGCAGCTGCGAGTCCTGCAACGCTCTGAACATAATAGTTGGCAGTGGAGATTCCTCCATCCACACTGTTTAGCGTGTATGGGAGATTTCAGGCAGACAGGAGAAAATCTATATGTGTATACATGCAATGCCTGGTGGGACTTGTAGTTCCACAACAGCTGGGGATCCGGACTTGCCTACACCGGTTCTCAGACAATAAAGTTCCCTGTAATGATCTTCTTTTGGGTAGCGGCCCTATAGTTCCCTTAAAAAACTCCTGTTTTTTTTTTTTTAAACTAACCCTTGCAGTGGAGCTACCCCCACACTGCAACAGTAAGTCAGTGGGCCTGCATAAGACATGATGACAACAGCAGTACTTAGACTGCTGGAGCCCAGGGGACGAGAGGCTGTGGGGACCGATCTAGCAGCCAGATGGGACCGAGGATCAAGTGAGTATATTTTCTTTATTTGTGCCAATAGACCAGGGGTGGGGAACCTCCGGCCTTTCAGCTGTGGTGAAACTACAAATCCCATGATGCATCTTTCTCTGGGAGTCATGTCTGTGGCTTTAGGAATCTTGCAGTGCCTCATGGGATTTGTAGTTTCACCATAGCTGGAGGGCCAGAGGTTCCCCACCCCTGCCCTAGACCAAAACAAGCAGTTTTTTCAATTCCCAGAGTTCCTGCAAAATGTGCACAATTTGTCCATTAACAGCTACTTTCATGGTGCATTTGGAGTAACTTCTTCCTACTGCTATGAATATCGGTTCCTATGAGCAGGGGGTGTGTGGCAGCAGATCACATAGCTGTCCCTGTTCACACCTGGGCGTTTTGACGCTGAAAGCTTAAGCGTCAAAGCTCACAACACAAG